ATAAAATGTGCGAGACCCATGTGAATGCCACCGAGAGGGGAGACTCTCAAAGTTCAGCTAATGCGTTTTGAAGGGAGATCCCTTCTTCCTCAGAGCTCAGGTGTTTGAGACCTGCAACCTAAGAGCTGCCACGCAGTGCAACATCCACCCCTCCAGTGACTTTGTTGAAGACAAGGCATGCGGTCACACTGCTCCTGTGGTACCCAGGTACACCTGCTTAGTTGTTTCCACTGGCCCTCTAGATCTTGAGTTCACAGTCCCAGGTGGTCTTATCCTCTGATCATGACACCACTGAAGGAGACATCTAGTGATCGTGAGGTGGATCGTGTCAGAAAGCGTCCTTAGACTCTTATATGTATGAGAATCATGTGGGTCTGGTAAGCGGATGTGGATTTTTCTTTGTGGTGATGGTGCACAAAGAATGGTGATCACTGTCACGAACACTGATGGCAACCTCTAGTGGCCCACTGGCCGGAGTCCCCCAGGGCGCGGAGTGTAAGCCCAGGTCTGCTGGTTCACCAGAAACCCTGATGTTGGGTATGGACTTGAAGCAGACCAGGACCAGGTCACGACCCCTGAGTGACACCAACCGTGGTAAAGGCAACCGCCGTAAAGGCAACCGCCAATGGTGTGTAGCGGGTAGGAGCCAGATGTGAAGAGGTGTGACGTGGTCAGGCAAGCCGGGTAGGTAACAGCGAGGCAGACGGTATAGATCAGTAGACAAAGAGTAATCGGGTAACAAGCCGGGTTTGGTAACAGGAGGTCAGACAAAGGGAGCAGGCAGAGGATGGTCAGGGCGAGCCAAAGGTCAGGGCAGGAGAACACAGTGGTATCAGGTCCAGGCAGGGTCAGCAACAAGGCAATCAGCATACAGGAAGAGCAGGACCACAGGAACAGGGAGAAGACCATCAGGCAACTTGTGTCTGTGCAGGGCTGGTTTAAGTAGCCCGCCCGGCGCTGATAGGCGTGCCTGGGTCCTAGTGCCTGCCCAGCGCCGTCATAGGTGACAGGCGTGCCTGGGTCCTAGTGCCCGCCTGCCTGCATGTCTTGTCGGACACCTACGCATGTGCAGACTCATGCGTCGCGGTGGTCCCTCACAATCACATTAAGAAGGCTTATCACTGACTTTTTTTCTTTTCTAACCTATTTAATACATTTTTCATCTGTTTGTTCAATGTGTTAATATTTTTTCATCATCATTAGCACAGCTTAGTATTATATACTGTAAATAAAATACATTTTAGGCAATTAATTTTGAAAGCCACTAACCCCTGGAGTATTATATCTACATATAACAGCAGCACTGTATTAGGGTGTACGGTATATTTTTACCATCGTCATAAAACGGAGGAGTTTTTACTTCTGCCATAGTAAGATAATACATTTCAAAGGGAAATGGCAGTGCCCTATTATTATGCCAAGGTGATTATTCTCAATTTTTAAAAGAGTGGGTTTGTTATTCTTTAAGGGTTGCCAAGAATTGAAGATACTAGATGCTCCCTCTTTTATGAAGAAAAAATAGAAACTCAATCTTTTTCTCACCTGCTGAATTATACAGTATTACCAACTTGTCCCTACAAAATTAACTTTGATACAGTTCCCCACCTACGACTAATGTGTAAAGTAAAGTCTACAGGCTTGTAAACTGGATAGAAAAACATATTCAGACAGTAGTGATTAATGATTCATACTCAAAATGGTCTAAGGTTATTAGTGGTCTACCCGAAGGTTCAGTGTTGGGAACCTTACTCTTTAATATATTTTTAACTGATATAGAGTTTGGGATTAAAAGTACCATTTCAGTACTTGCAAATGATGCCGAGCTGTGCAGTGGAATAACGTCCTAACAGGATATATCCAACTTGCAAGCACACCTCAATGCATTATTTAACTGAACAATTATATGGCAAATGAGGTTCAATGTTGATAAATGTACAGTTATGCACTTTGGGGCTAAAAACACACATGCACTATTCTAGGAGAGCAGCTGAGGGATTTAAAGTTTTAGAACAATCAGGGTGTTCTGTTAGATCATAGACTTAATAATAGTATGCAATGCCAAGCTGCAGTTTCTAAGTAAAATACTTTCCTATATTACAATAGTCATAGACTCCAGAGAAAGAGACATAATTTTGCCCCCTGTACAAATCATTATAAAGCCTCATCTTATAGGAGTTTTAGGTACCAGTTCACAAAATGAATATTAGGTAACTAGAGAAAGTGCAAAAAAGGGCAACCAAATTGAAAAGAGGCACGGAGGAGCTCAGCTATGAGGAAGGATTAGAGGAATTGAATTTATTCTCTCTTGAGAAGAGGAGATTAAGGGGGCATGTGATCAACATGTATAAATACATAAGTGATCCATATAGCGAACTTGGTGTAGAGTTATTCACTTTAAGATCATGACAAAGGACAGGGGGCGCGTTTTACATCTGGATGAAAGGAGATTAAACCTCCAAATATGGGAAAGTGTCTTCACAGAAAGAGCTGTAAAAATGTGGAATAGACTCCCTCAAGAGCTGGCTCTGGCCAGCTCAGTAAATTGTTTTAAAAAAGGTCTGGATTCTTTCTTTTAACAAGGTAGTTGATACAGGGGGTATCAGATTGCCTCTTGGGAAATCAGGAAGGATTTTTTCTCCCCCTGCTGAAGTAAATTGGATAAATCTTTGTTTCTTTTTTTTGCCTTCCTCTATATCAACTGTGGATATAGGATTGCGTATATGGAGGTTTCCTATTTGTGTGTTTCTTTTATTGGTTGAACTATATTAACTTGTGTCTTTTTTCAACTAGACTAACTATGTAACTTCTGCATGAAGCTATGTAACTTCTCTAACTACAGACTGTTGTGGACTATAGGCGGCCACTCTTCTGTTCCCCCTCCCCCTTTCTGATGTCCTGTTTTCTTTCTGGATATTCCTGCTTTCTCCATTTCAACTCCTAACTCAAGTGGAAATCTATTGAACTATATGCTTTTCTACTGGGAAGGCTTTTATGCTATTCCATGGCTGCCTTTGTGCACTTATGTATACTGTACTGATGTCAGATAGATTTGCTACTGTGTATCAGCCACTATTATGTTTTTCTTTTATTCCCAGTACAATGTTTTATATGCAAACAGATTGTTATACACGCTGTATTAAACTTTAAAACCTAATACAACCTTGTGTAAAAAAAATGTAAAAAAATAAAAAGGTAGCGAGGCAAAGGATATTAACAGTCCAAGCATATGAATAATCAAGCCATGGTTAAAAACACCATCAAAATATTATTGTTCTTCATGCAGCAAAACATCAGTCTATCCTGTTTTGCTTGCCTGACTTCTGCAACAGTCATGTGTTATGCTGTTATATTTTGCACATTGATTTACAATAATATATTTTTGTTGTAAAACTTAAACCATAATATTTCATGTTTATTGTAACAGAGAGGTCTCTGTGCCACTTCTATGATCATTATCCCATCCTCTCCCTTTTCACCCACCAGTATCTTTCCCATCCCACCTCTTTTTTGTATTCTGTCCCTCTCAAAACTACTTTCAATACTTCTAAAGTTTTCCTAGGAACCTCTTCCACAGCACACAAACTCCCCCTCTTAAGAGTAAACCTTTTTTTAGCATAAAGGTTGCACCCCAGTGAAAAGTCAGCTAGCTGTTCTGGAAACTATATCATTCCCTATTTCACCAATATGCAAACCATCCATTTAGTTCCCTAAGTTCCTAATACTGTCTATCTAGGAAACTAGGGAACACACAACTGCTGCCACGAACCTGTTCACTTAGCCCACTGTGCTCTACACCCTTATACTAGCCGAACAACAAACCGTTATTCTATCCATCTTCTATCATCTCCACTTCAGGCAAGTTTGGGTTGTTAAAGACAGGGATGGCCTACCTTTTTAAAGAATGATTGCCACTCCCTCTAACTACTGCAAATTAATCCCTAATCTTCCAGAGACCCCTTGCATCTATTCCATTAACTGTTTATCTCTTCATATTTAAGTCTATAGCTAGAAAGAATTGATATTTAAATCACTGCCTAGATTATATACAGTATATATGGTTATATTATATCATAAGTTTATATAGAATAAATTCCAATTTTCCTAGTAAAAAACCAGTACATTTTCATCTCAAGTCTATTGCAGCTCAGTTATTCTGAAATGTATTCTAATAATACATTTGATAACAGACATTTAGAAACAAAAAAAAAGCCTTAAGCAAGTTCCTTTTTCTTTTCTCTTTTTCTCTTCTTTTTTGTGTATGCTCTTCATTCTCTTGAGTTTATAGCATCTGTTGTGAATGTTCCCCACTTTCTCCTAAATAGTTGGAAATACTGTGAAAAACATGACCATGGTTTTCTGTATTTTTCTATTATCATTATTTCCTCACTCTCCTGTTACTTAAATCAAAATCTTTTGAGAATGTTAATATGTTAAATTAAAGTGTTTCTAAACCCAGGACCCTGCATTCACTATATCTGGTCTCTCACAGTACACAGAACATGGAAATGCAATAATTTTCATAAATATAAACTGCTAAATACCTTTTCTCATCAGTAGTATATAGCAGTCTTGTGACTTATATCAGTGTCTGGCTGAGCACTGGTTAATCTTGTAGGAGTTTTCATTTTCCTCTGTCCTATTAGGCTGCATTACCCCTGACCCTCTGTCCAGAAAAAAAAAAATATGTGCAGAGTGTCTCCTAGGGCTACTATCAGCAGATGGATTGAGGACTGTGGAAGAAGGGGAGAATCAGAGAAGTCAGGATCAAACAGCTTTTTACATAATGCGGAGGAGTAACTCCTTCAGGTTCCACAGCTAGTATAACAAGTGTGCTTTACTGCATATACAGACTGATTTTACTGTTGTCGGTTTAGTAACACTTTAACTGCTTGCCTGCCGCCCTATAGCAGAAACACTGCTACAGAGAAGCAGGGCTGTGCAAAATTATGTATATATACGTGATTTTGGATTTTCTGGTAGGGGGCGCACGTGCCCTACCTGCCCCACCATTGGCGACTTCAGCTTTTGATCACTGGGTCCTGGCCGGTGATTCCCCACTGGCACCCTGCGATCGCCAAGTATCACTGATAGGGGAGAGGTCTGTATGTAAACAATACAGATCTCTCCCCTGCCAGCTCTTGCACACTGCTTTGTATTGCTCTGCATAGCAGAGCAATACAAAGCAACGTGCTTACACTGTAAAAGACACACACAGCACACAGTAAAACAGCACACAGTTAACCCTTTGATTGTCCCAGATGCTAACCCCTTCCTGCTCAGTGTCATTAGTACAGTGTCAGTGCTTTTTATTAGCACTGATCACTCTATTAGTGTCACTGGGGATGTCAGTGACAGTTAGTCAGTTCCCCCCCATTGTCAGAATGCCCGCCGCAGTCCCGCAGTCCTGCTATAAGTCGCTGATCACCACCATTACTAGTATTGCAAAAAAAAATTCCAGTATATATACCGCCATTTGTAGACGCTATAACTTTCATGTAAATCAATTAATTTACAATTTATTTATTGGGATTTTTTTTTTAGCAAAGACATAGTTACATAGTTAGTCTGGCTGAAAAAAGACAAAAGTCCATCCAGTTCAACCACAGAAAAAAAAAAAAAGACATGTAACAGAATACATTTTGGACTAAAGTTATAATGAATTTTGTTTTTTTACATTTTTTTACTGGACATGTTTCATAGCAAAAAGTAAAAAATATTGTTATTTTTCTCAAAATTGTCGGCCTTTTTTTGTTTATAGCGATAAAAATAAAAAAGCAGAGGCCATCAAAGAAAACTCCCTTTGTGGGAAAAAGGGACATAAATTTAATTTGGGTGTAGTGTTGCATGACCGCGCAATTGTCAGTTAAAGTAACACAGCACCATATTGCAAAAAATGGCCTGGTCAGGAAGGGAGGTAAATCCTTTGGAGGGTAAGTGGTTAAGGATACCTGAAAAATGTATCCAGTTCCTCACTTTGGAAATCTCAAATATACCAAAGCGCATCTTACTTTACTTATATTTTAATCTTCTTTTCCTAAAATTGGACATATTTCTAAGCAGTGAATTGGACATTCATTGCAGGTGTACATTTTTGATGAATGCTTTTTAAATTAGAGTGACTGATTCACCTGCAGTGACTGTTTGGTGAATGCCACATTCACAGATTTTATAAATATGCCCAGTATATTAAAATAAGATCTGCTTTTAAGTGTATCTAATTTTTTGTTTGTTTGTTTTAGATAGTGTGGGGAAAATCAGAAACCTTATTAAGTTTTACTGCTATCATGGACTTCAGTAGAGACATTTTCCTTTACTTTCTGTTCTAGGAATAATATTTTACCAGAGAGGAAGGGAGGGAAAATCAGGGTTCGAGCATTCCTATACTTAACCACTTACAGTCTAGGCCAATTCTGACATTTCTCTCATACATGTTAAAATTAGCATTTGTTTTGCTAGAAAATTACTTAGGACCCAAACATTATATATTTTCTGAAAGCAGAGGCCCTGCAGAATAAAATGGTGGTTGTTGCATTTTTTTATGTTGGATAATATTTGTGTAGCTATTTATCAAATGCAAATTTTCACGAAAAAATACACTTAACGTATAACTAAAGTCAAATCTTTTTTTTTTTTTTTTTTTTAGTATTGGATAGTGTGGAAATGAATTAGAACACCTTTCAGCTTTTATTGCTGTCTGTTCCCCTATTAGGGAGAGTCATCCGCTCTATTTGTTCTGTTTACCATTATCATTGAAAGTGAAAGTAAAAGAAACCCCAAACTTCTAGTTGTCCCCAGAAAAGTAATAGAGGATAACTCTTCTAATGGGAAAACTAATTCTGATGAACTGAATACTAGTTCTGGTAACCTAGGGGTCCCCAAGGAATGCCCTTAGATTGCAGGGATTTTCTCTCACTTCCTGTTTTGGCTATTGGACAGGAAGTGAAAGTAAATTTTCCCAATGGGAGACAGATGGCAAAAATTAACTGATAGGGGTTATAACACTCCCTTACTCCAAAATGAAAGAAAAAAGTTTTGCCTATACGTAGTTGCACACAAAACAATGTAAGACCCTATTTTAAAATATAACGTTGAACCAAGTAAATAGATACCAGACATGTCAAGATTTAAACCGTTTCACACCAGCAAAATGGCGACAAACTATGGTGGTGACAAACTATGGTGGTGACAAACTATGGTACCTAAAAATCTTCATAGGCGACGTTTTAACCCTTTTGCCGTTAGGTCCGCACTTCGTATGGACCTGACAATGAGGCGTTTTACACACAAATTAGTGGCTGCAGCACTGGGATTGTGTCTAAAATTGACAGGCAGACTCCTGCCTGTAAGGTAGAAGCAGCTTTCACAGCCCCCTGTAACGGTGTTCCCCCAAGTTTGCTCCTGCCATGTATTCCGGGCTCCGCTTGCCCATCTGCGGGCCTGGAGCTGACATGACAGGTTCCGGAAGGTGGAGGGGAGAGAAGAGAGTGGATACACGTCTGTTTTCCTCCCCTACATGCTGTGAACCGGAAAGCGACATGTATGACATCACTTCCACGTCACTGCTATTGCTTTCCCAGACTTTTCTAGGGTGATCTTCATTGCAATACATCCAGTGGAGCAGAGAGGAGACATGCGGGGTCTTTTAAACCCCGCATGTCTCATTAAAGAGAACCTGTCACCTAAAAAATCCTCACATTGGAGACTTTGTGTCCCCTACTGTATGTGATGGAAAAAAAAAAAGTAAAAAAAAAAAATTTTTTTATTGCAAAAAAGAAAATTACACCCAAGCACATAACATCTCCTCCCAAGAAAATGTTGAGCACCCCCCCACATATACGCATGTACAAATGTAAATGCATGCGTTGGGGTCACCTATGCATGAAAGCTTTGATTGCGATGCACATGACACGGTAAGTAAAAGCATCACATATTACACACATTACACTTGTTAGGCACACAGTTAACCCTTTGATTACCCCCTTTATGTTAACCACTTCCCAGGCAGTGACATTAGTACAGTGTACAGTATTAGCAGTGATCACTGTATTAGTGTCATTATTGAGGTCAGTGTTAGTTAGTGTACCTCCCAGCTAGTGTCATCTAGTGCCTGATTGCCCGACATATTACCACAGTCCCACTATAAGTCGCTGATCACCTCCAGTCAGGGGCGGACTGACCATTTGGAAACTTGGGCACTGCCCGAGGGCCCGGGGTCATTAGGGGGCCCCATGAGATGCCCCTGGTACCTTTTTCATAGGCTTTTTTGAGTTTGGGCAAGGACACAGGGGCCCCATGATCCCCTATTGCCCGGGGGCCCCATGAGTTGTCAGTCCGCCCCTGCCTCCAGTACTAGTATAGCATCATAGCTGCATAAATTCCAGTGTGTACACCATCGTTTGTAGACACTATGGGGTTTATTTACTAAACTGGAGAGTCCAAAATCAGACTCCCTTCTGCATAGAAACCAATCAGCTTCCAGGTTTCATTGCCAAAGCTTCATTGAACAAGCTGAGGTTAGAAGCTGATTGGTTTCTATGCTGAAGGGAGTCTGATTTTGGACTCTCCAGCTTTAGTAAATAAACCCCTATAACTTTCACACAAACCAAATAATATACACTTATTGGGATTTTTTTTTACCAAAGACGTAGCAGAATATATTCTGGTCACAATTTATGAGGAAATTAGATTTCTTGGTTGGATAAGTTTTATAACAGAAAGTAGAAAGTATTTATTTTTCAAAATGTTCGGTCTTTTTTCATTTCTATAATAAAAAATAAAAAACCCAGTGGTGATCAAATACCACCAAAAGAAAGCTCTATTTGTGTTAAAAAATTATATAAATTTCGTTTGGGTACAGTGCTGCATGACCTAGCAATCGCCAGTTAAAGTATCACAGTGCTGAATAGCTCTGTGTAAAAAATGCTCTTGTCATGAAGGGGGTAAAAGCTTCTGGAGGTCAAGTGGTTAAAATGGGATCAAAGTCCTTGACAAATAACTAAAGTCTAGCTTGTTGGACTTCTATAGTCAGGGAAATACTGGAGAGTTTAATAAAAAGCCACATGGAAATGTTTTTGCTATAAAGTAATGTTTTAAGCATGAATTCATGAAACGCCAAAGCTGACAAACACATATAATTTCTTTTTATGAGAAAGCGAGCAAAAACCTAGACAAAGGAGTGTCTATGGATATAATATACTTTAATTTTGCAAAAATGTTTGACCCAGTTCCCCACACACAGCTAATTTACAGGATTAGAAAATACAGTTTGTAATTGCATAGAAAACTGGCTAAAAGATTGCATTCAGAGTGTAGAGCCTAATGGTCTAAGGTTATTAGTGGTGTACTTCAAGGTTCAGTGTTGGGACTGCTGCTTTTTAAATAACTATATATAGTTTTAGAATAAAAGTACCATTTCATTGTTTGCAGATGACACCAAGTTATTCAGTGGCTTGACATTCTTACAGGATGTCTAAAACTTACAAGCAGATCTCATTGCACAATTAAAAAAGCAAATTTGTGGCAAATGAGGTTTAATGTTGATAAATGTAATGTTAGGCCCTTGGGGGCTAAAAACATGCATGCATCATACTTATTAGGAGGAGAACAGCTGGATGAGTCAATGGTGGAGAAGGATCTGGGTGTTCTGATAGAACATAGAATTAATAATATCATGCAATGCCAAGCTGCAGTTTCTAAAGCTATCAAAATATTTTCTTGTATTAAAAGGGAACTCTAGAGAAAGACATAATTCTGCTTCTGTACAAATCATGAAATATGCACTCATCAGTTTTTGTACTCATCTGAAATATGCAGGTCAGTTTTGGGTACCAGTTCACAAAAAGAATATTGAAGTGGAGAAGGGCAACCAAATTGATAAGAGGCATGGAGGAGCTCAGCTATGAGGAAAGATTAGAGGAACTGAATTTATTCTCTCTTGAGTTGAGATGATTAAGGGGGGATCTGATCAACATGTATAAATACATAGGTGGTCCATATAGTGAACTTTGTGTAGAGCTACTTACTTTCAGGTCATTACAGTGGACAAGGGGGCATTGTTTACATTAGAAGAAAAAGATTTAACGTCCACATATGGAAAGGCATCTTCACTGTAAGAGCTATGAAAATGTGGAATATGCTCCCTAAAGAAGTATTACATAGACATGTAATAACACCAGGGGTAGTTGATCCAGGGAATATCTGATTTCATCCTGGGGGGATCAGAAGGATTTTCTTTTCCTTGCTGGGGCACATTCTTTATTGCATATTTATTTATTTGTGGATGCAGGATTAAGTTAATGGAGGTTTTCTATTTGTATACAGTGTCTGGTGTCTTTTGTCAACCTGAATAACTATGTACCAGTGCCAAGTTAAAGTGTTACTAAACCCAGGACCCTGCATCCATTATATCTAGTCTCCCACA